AGAGAGACAGAGAGAGAGAGAGAGAGAATTGCCACTATTGTCTGTACCCAATGTTTGCCGACAGAGAACACTGTTCTCTTTGCTAGAGTAATGTTTATTTTATTAAAAAAAATTTAAGAGTGAAAGAGATTAATTCATTTTTAAAGTTAGAATAAAATTGTCAAATTATAAATAGATATATAAATCTTTCGAAACTTGTTTAATTTAAAACATCGTCTATCAAAAAAAAATTATAGAAATTTAAATTTAAATACCTTGTATCCAAAATTTAAATTTTAATTACTTATGTTAATCATTATTGACTAAAATAATGGTTTTGCTGTTCAGGAAGCACTTAGATTTTACCACAAGATTAAAATTTGGCAGCAAATATTAACCAGAAAGAGAGTGAAAAGGGATGGTTAGAAAATGTTAGAGATGTAAATGATTAATTAGCATTCGTAAGTTACTCGAGTTTGATTAAAAAAAAATTTAAATTCAGTTTGATTGTTATCGAATCAAGTTCGAGTTTGAGTAATTCGATTTATCGATCGAGTCGAATTTGAATATTCTTATATCCGATTCGAGTAGCTCGCGAGCCTAATCGAATTTGTATATTTAAATATATTTTTATTATTTTAATTAATAAAATATTTTAAATTCGAGTTCGAACATAAATAATCAAACTCTTGTCAAGCATACGAATCGAGTTTATTTTTACATATTAATCGAACGAACTCGAATAGTTCAAATTCGATAACGAATCGAACTCGAGCTTAAAAAATAAAACTCGATCAAGTTCGAATCGAATATCGAGCCTCGAATTGTGAGTTAAGCTTGAATTTTTTACTATTCGACTCGATTCGACTCGACTCGATTACACCCCTAAAAGAAGTGAAACTTTTCGAGCTGGATAACTTTCATCTTATTAATTCCTAAATTTAAATAACGATTTCTGTTTCCTATTTTCTTGCATTTGACAAAAAATTAGCCAGTTCTTAGGATGTATGAATGAAGCATTGGCTCGAATCATGAAAAATAATATGAACAACAGTCCTTGTGCCATTTAAAATGTTTTTGTGAAAAACAAAGAATCACATCATATGTTCATAGTAACATAATTATTTGAATGAAACGTCCTCATTCAAGTATTAATTACCAAAGAGTTTAAAGAATTTAAACACATAATTTTTTTTAAATAAATAAAAGTTAAAGAGTTAAAAAAATAAATTAAAAAAATTAGTCGACCCAAATTTTCTTTTTAAAAAAATTACTTTCTTTTAATGACTGTGAACATACAATCATTAACCAGTAATCCAAGCTGTCATAGCCGCCACCTGCTAAAATAATAATATAACAAAGTTAACAAAGATTAATAATTACTTAATAATTGAAAAAAAAAAAGAAAAGAAACGCATCTATAAAAAAAAATTAATACTCATCGTCTGTTCATAAAATCATACCGTAATAAAACCATGTAATAAATGACAGAATCTGAATTCCGGGCTCAATAATTTGGATTTCGACTCACTACCCAGATTTAGAGAAGCACCCAAAAAAGTGCTACCATTTCAGTTTTCTGGAACAAAACAAAGCAGGAAAAGGGGGAAAGAAAAAATGAGAGTGAACTGGAAGTCATGGTCTCTGAACAAGTCACTTGCTTGTAAAGCTTGCAGTTGCCATTCTCTTAGTGGGTCTTGCTTTTAGGCTCTTCGTTTCTCGTTCTAAAGTATTTGCATCTGATTTAGAATCTCCTGTGTTGGAGAAAGAACAAGTTCAAGAGCCACACTTGAAACCACCTGTCCCTGTTGAAATACCTTGAAAATGAAGATCAGATACCTCTAGGTAACCAAATTTGGGTCTTTCCCCCCTTTTTTTTTTATGTTGTTTCTTTTCGTTGACATGGAATCACCTATCAGTAGAGTTGGTATTCTGAGATCTGCTGATCTACTACTTAAAATATTGCTTTTGATTAGAAATATTGAAAATTTGATGGATGTCTTCCAAGTTGATTTATTTGGTGTAGAATGCTGGCATTTTTATGGACCTTGTTCTGATTATTTTGTAACTATTCTTTTTAATTGATTGATATTGTTCAGTGTCTTTTGTTTCCGCCATTTTAGTGTCTATAATTTGTGAATTACTGGTACTAATTGTTAATGAAACTGTCCTTTTTACGGGAATGAGTAATGAAACTTCTTCTCAGTATTGTGATACGGCATTTGTTTAATTGATTGATATTGGCATCCATAATTTATTGCCACTAATACTTTTGTTATTGACATCTCACATACAAGATTTTTTTTATTCTTTTGGTTTTATTGTTGTGGCTTAATCATTTAAACTTATGGTTGCACCAGATATTATTACAGAAAAGTGTGATCTCTTTACAGGGTATTGGATTCCCAATCCCTCAGGCCCGACTTACACAAACGAGAGCTGCCCCTTGATAGAAGGTCATCAGAATTGTATGAGGAATGGGCGCCCTGATTCTGGGTACCTATACTGGAAGTGGAACCCCCGTGACTGTCAGTTACCTCGATTTAATGCGGGGAAATTTCTGGAGTTGATGAGAAATAAAGCATGGGCTTTGATTGGCGATTCCATATCTCGCAACCATGTGCAGTCACTGCTGTGCATGCTCTCAACAGTATGTGTTTTGATAGTTATAGCAAATTTTAACACCGCCCTTGGGTGGTATAAAGTGGAAATGAATCTGGCTTCCCTCGCCTCAACTTTCCTTTTTATCTTAAGAATCATATGGTTATCTGTCTACTTATTATGCTAGTAAAAAATCAAGATTAATCCTGTCTTTCCGCTCATAGAAGGAAAATGATAAAAGTAGTTATCTTGGGTTTCTTGAGGGGAAATGAGAATAGTGGCTAGCAGAGCTACTTTGTTATCATAGCTAGGTTTTGATCCCGGGACCTGTCATTATGGGCTGACCATGCTTCTGCTGGCCACTCTGATCTGCTGGTTTTATATTGCCAAACATACTAGTTCAACTAGATGGTGAGGAATGTATCTTAGTGTAGAAACTGTTTAGTGTTTGCTAGTTTTTATTACACTTTTCCCTCTGCAACCTATTTTAAGGGTTGCAACAATGTCATTGAACTTATTAATTTGAGTGCCTTGGACAGGATTATCATTTGATTTTGTGGTAAAAGTAAGCTATTTTAGCGCTTCATTGCTCATGTGCTAACCACATCTATACTCCTATGTAGTTTTTTGGTTATTGTATCCTCACTAGTCGATATGCTGGCTTGGTAACTAATATGACCAACTTAATTACTAGGCTCGCATGAATGATGACTAATGCACTTTGACGTTAAACTAAAAAGATCAGGAATTTGGGGATTTTGTTGAATCCTGTGAAAGTGTTTGCGCTGCATTTTCTAAGGGTTGCATGTGAAAGATTTTCCAAATCAACATTCGTATCTGCTTTGTTTTTCATCCGTAATGTGTTGTTCTGTGTTGGGTTATTATTGATGTTTACTTTTCCATAAAACATTCAGGTTGAACAACCTGTTGAAGTTTACCATGATGAGGAGTACAAAACAAAGAGGTGGTATTTCCCATCATACAATTTCACGGTATCAAATATTTGGTCTCCTTTTCTTGTGAAGGCTGCTATTTTTGAAGATAACAACGGGGTTTCTACGGCTGAAGTTCAGCTGCATCTGGACAAACTTGATAAGAAATGGACAGATGTCTATCAGAGCTTAGATTACATGATAATCTCTACTGGAAAATGGTTCCTCAAGGCTGCAATCTATCATGAGAATGACACAATTGTTGGCTGCCATATATGCCCAGGAAAAAACCTGACGGAGTTAGGATTCGTCTATGCTTACAACAAAACCCTCCACCGTGTCATGGACTTCATTGCAACATCAAAGCATAAGGGCTTGATCTTTTTTAGGACGTCCATGCCAGATCACTTTGAGAATGGGGAATGGCATAACAGAGGGACTTGTCCAAAGACAACACCAACTAAAGAAGGAGAGATTGAAATAAAGGACTTGAACAGAATTCTACGTAACGCTGAATTGGAAGAGTTTGAGAAGGCAGCAGCAAAAGCTGCTGATAATGAGGTGACTCTTAAGCTTCTTGACTTCACTAATCTCTTATTATTGAGGCCAGATGGACACCCGGGTCCATACCGCCAGTTTCAGCCATTTGCAGAGAACAAAACAGCAGTCGTGCAGAACGACTGTCTACATTGGTGTTTACCTGGACCAACGGACTTCTGGAATGATGTGATTATGGAGATGGTGGTCAATGGTTAATAAAAACAAACAAAAAAAAATTTGCCTGAGCCATTTTGGAGGTTGATTTGTCTCAGAAATTTTAGCAGTTGCAAGCCTGAGGTGATGCTTCTTCATAGCTGTTAGATGAACCATGGCATTTTTATCAAATGAATGCCAGAGGTTGTCTGTTTCCCTCTGCTACTCGTACATATTTCTCTGGATCATACAGGTTATTAGATTGGAATAGAGATCATGAATATATTAATCATACCTGTTTGTAATTTATGCATTAGCAATAGTAACTTCGATTCTTAAAATTTAGTGATTGCCGTTTGTTGTATACATAATTTGAGAATTTGAACTTTTAACACAATATATATTGCATTAGCATGGGCCATCTCCATGTTCATTGAAAAGAAAATCAGATACTTTTCCTAATTTTTGGTCCCAAAATTTTAGCCTTTTAACCTCAAATCTGCTTTTCACAATCTGGGAATTATCAATTATGTCAAGGTTACTTAAAACGCTCAAGAAATTAATGGAGGCTCTTATAAAATGGCAATAATTATTTCCTTTATGATAATAAATAATCCCAACAATCCCTTCAACGGTCAAAAATATTTTAAACCTGGACGCCACGCCCCTCCTAAATCCCAAAAACTTATTTTTGAATTTGAAAAATCAGACCGTTGCATCAGACCGTTGCGCTTCCCTCATCCCCTTTATAAACCCACGGCTCTTCTCTTATCTAACGTATTCATATCTCAAGAAACTCTTCATCTGTAAACTTATTTTTCCCTTCCCAAAAAATGGCTGATACAGCGGTTGTTGTGCCCAAGAAATCAAGAAACAATGGAAGAAAAGCCTTGAAACAAAAAAATCCATCTACAAATGATGCTAATATTTTGGCACAAAAGCTTTCGCAGGCTTCCCCAACTCCAATTCCTTCTCCAATGGAAGCCGAAAAAGAGAACCATGAGGGACTCTCTCAACCTCTCACTTCTCCCAAGAAAGGGAAGGCCGCTGCGAAAGGGAAACAGACAAAGCAGCAGCAGCAGTCTTTCGAGAAAGACTTGCAAGAAATGCAAGATATGTTGCAGAAGTTGAGGATAGAGAAGGAGAAGACTGAGGAGTTATTGAAGGAGAAAGATGAGATGTTGAAGATGAAGGATGAAGAGCTTGAGACCAAGGGAAAAGAGCAAGAGAAATTGCACATGGAGTTGAAGAAATTGCAGAAAATGAAGGAGTTCAAGCCCACTATGGTACTTTATTTTTCTGTTCTTCATTTGTTTGGCTTTTCTTTCTTGATATAAATTTTGGATGATTCTTATTGCTGTTCTGTTCCCTCTTCAGACTTTCCCAATTGCTCAGTCCTTGAAAGACAAGGAACAGGACAAGAAAGAGAAGAAGAAAAAGGGAGGCCCTGAAAAGAAAAGGCCTTCTCCACCTTACATCTTATGGTGCAAAGATCAATGGAATGAGGTAGATAACTGAATACTGAAGATTTTGAAATTTTCTTTTTGTGACCAGTTTCAATTGTCCATCATTTGCTAATTTGGGGGATTCTTGTTTTAGGTCAAGAGGGAGAAACCAGAGGCAGATTTCAAAGAGGTCTCAAACATTTTGGGTGCAAAATGGAAGACAGTCACCGCTGAAGAAAAGAAGCCTTATGAGGAGAAATATCAGGCTGAGAAGGAAGCTTATTTGCAGGTGATTGCAAAAGAGAAGCGTGAGAGTGAAGCCATGAAGCTCTTGGAAGATGAGCATAAGCAGAAGACTGCTATGGAGTTACTTGAACAATATGTGCAGTTCAAACAGGAAGCAGAGAAAGATACCAAGAAGACCAAGAAAGAAAGGGATCCTTTGAAACCAAAGCAACCAATGTCAGCATTTTTCTTGTTCTCCAACGAGAGGAGGGCAGCTCTTTTAACAGAGAACAATAACGTTTTGGAGGTTGCAAAAATCGCTGGCGAAGAATGGAAGAACATGACTGAAGAACAAAGACGACCTTATGAAGAGGTAGGTCATCTACAGAAAAAGACTCGAATATCCATAACAGTTTCACATTCTTGATTAGAGCTCTCATGGTTTTTTTGTGAATTGCAGATGGCAAAGAAGAACAAAGAAAAATACATGCAGGAAATGGAGGTTTACAAGCAGAAAAAGGAGGAAGAAGCTCTGAGTCTTAGAAAGGAAGAGGAGGAGACGATGAAACTTCAGAAACAAGAAGCTCTTCAGCTGCTTAAGAAGAAAGAGAAGACAGAGAATATTATTAAGAAGACCAAGGAGAAACGTCAGAAGAAGAAGCAGCAGCAGAACTCTGACCCTAACAAGCCCAAGAAGCCTGCATCTTCATTCCTCTTGTTCAGCAAAGAAGCAAGGAAAACGCTGATGCAAGAGCGACAAGGAATCAACAATTCTACACTTAATGCCCTGATTTCAGTGAAATGGAAGGTATGATATATTATCCTAAATCACCATTTCGGACTGTAAATTTGTAACTATCATTTCACTCTCATCGGGTTTGTTGTTTTTGCTTTTGGGTTATAGGAACTTAGTGAGGAAGAGAAGAATGGTTGGAATGCCAAAGCAGCTGAAGCCATGGAAGCATACAAGAAAGAATTGGAAGAATACAACAAATCTGCCGCAGCAGCTGCGGAGAACTAGTAGCAACACTGAAGGCTAAAATTTTGCTCTATTGATGTTCAAGTTTGTCGAACATCATCAGTCCTTTTGATAGCTGTTCGGATCTGATTGTTTTTTAGCATTCTGATACTTCTCTAACTGCAATTAAGATCTAGTTCAATCCAATGTTTCTTTGGTTGATGCTGTCCCATGGAACCATTTTTCTGGTTTATTACTGCTTTATAGCAACAAATCGTATTGGCTCGAGAAATATGATTAGAATTTGGAAGCATTTTGATTTTGAGTACTTTTCACTAATCTAGCCTGCGCAATTACGGCACGTACTAGTAGCAACACTGCAACACTGAAGGCTAAAATTTTGCTCTATTGATGTTCAAGTTTGTTGAACATCATCAGTCCTTTTTTGATAGCTGTTCGGATCTGATTGTTTTTTAACATTCTGATACTGTCCAATTAAGATCTAGTTCAATCCAATGTTTCTTCGGTTGATGCTGTCCCATGGAACCATTTTTCTGGTTCATTACTGCTTTACAGCAACAAATCATACTGGCTCATGATTAGAATATGAAAACATTTTGATTTTGAGTACTTTTCACTAATCTAGCCTGCGCAATTACGGCACGTTACTAGTAGCAACACTGCAACACTGAAGGCTAAAATTTTGCTCTATTGATGTTCAACAAACTTGAACATCATCAGTCCTTTTTTTGATAGCTGTTCGGATCTGATTGTTTTTTAACATTCTGATACTTCTCTGACTGCAATTAAGATCTAGTTCAATCCAATGTTTCTTCGGTTGATGCTGTCCCATGGAACCATTTTTCTGGTTCATTACTGCTTTACAGCAACAAATCATACTGGCTCATGATTAGAATATGAAAACATTTTGATTTTGAGTACTTTTCACTAATCTAGCCTGCGCAATTACGGCACGTTACTAGTAGCAACACTGCAACACTGAAGCACGTTACTAGTAGCAACACTGCAACACTGAAGGCTAAAATTTTGCTCTATTGATGTTCAACAAACTTGAACATCATCAGTCCTTTTTTGATAGCTGTTGATCTGATTGTTTTTTAACATTCTGATACTTCTCTGACTGTGCAATTAAGATCTAGTTCAATCCAATGTTTCTTCGGTTGATGCTGTCCCATGGAACCATTTTTCTGGTTCATTACTGCTTTACAGCAACAAATCGTATTGGCTCATGATTAGAATATGGAAACATTTTGATTTTGAGTACTTTCACTAATCTAGCCTGCGCAATTACGGCCCGTTACTGAAAAGTTTTGTCCAAGCAATCAAAACAGGCCAGAAACCTTTTCCGCGTGATCCAGCAAGAGATCAGGCTTGGCACACAGCCGAAACAAACAAATAAACATTCTAGATGCCTTTTTCTTCACTCCAACCAATACTTCAAATGTCAAACTAAACCTCCGGCGTAATTTCGCTTAATTTCGCTTTTTTTTCTTAGTGTCGTCCCCCTCCAAAGTCCAGAATCCCGTTCTCAGACTAGCACAGGTATGGCTCAACCTTCGCAACCGGACCCGTTCTCAGAGTCCCGCATAGACACTGACGCCGGAGCAGTCTTTGTTCTCGAATCAAAAGGTGAGTAACAAAACACACTTATCGCCCGTGCAAACTTCAACAAAAACCAAGCAATTTTTAAAGTTGGCTGTTCTATCTGTTTCCGACGAAATATAGGGAAGTGGTGGCATGCGGGTTTCCATCTGACGACGGCGATCGTGGGGCCAACAATCCTGACGCTGCCATATGCATTTAGGGGATTGGGGTGGAGCCTAGGCTTCTTCTGTTTAACGGTGATGGGATGCGTCACTTTCTACTCTTACAGTCTCATGTCCAAGGTGCTCGATCACTGTGAAAAAGCTGGTCGCCGCCACATTCGCTTCCGCGAGCTCGCCGCCGATGTTTTAGGTAACGCCATCATCAACATTTGCAATTTTTTTTAACGTTTTTTGGATGATGCTTTCCTCAAACAATGTGGAAAACGTTTTCACTCCCGTCTTCTTGTTGCGTTGCGTTTGTTCACTTCTCACTTCAGTTCGCAAAGTATAGTTTTTTTTTTTTTTTTTCAAAAGCGTAAAAGATTGAATCATTAAACCAGTTCGAGATGTGAAATCTTTGATTTTTTTTTTTTTGAAAAACTATTGAAAGTGCATGGTAAGTGAATAGTATACTCCAAAGTCAAAAACGGAATGAGTTTTGACAAGATATAGAGATAGGGGCACGCATGCAATCTTGTTTTAGTGCGGACATAACTGCCTTTATATGAAGAAAATTGGCATATATTCAAATTTAGAGGACCTTATTTGAAGGAACAAATCCTGTAGAAAAACTCAACCATGTTAAGTCTAAAGCTTTAGGTCTCATTTTTTTTTTTTACTGCAGGGTCAGGATGGATGTTTTATTTTGTGATACTTATTCAAACAGTCATTAACACTGGGGTTGGAATAGGAGCAATTTTGCTTGCAGGGGAATGCCTACAGGTATGGCTCTCATTTCATTAATTCTAGAATCAAAAGTTCCAAGTGTGGCATGTAGGTATTTATTACAATTGCTTCTTATGCAATCTAAGGCTTGTCATAAACACCGACAAATTTGGTCTTTTCAAAAACTACTATTAGACACTAGTCTACACAAGTTTTTTTTTCCTGTAATGCTAACAAGTTTTGCATTTTTTTTCAAGCTTGATGGGGTTGATTAGGACCCATCGATCTGCATTTTCAATTATAATGATAATGCAAACAAGTGTGTTCTATTTGTATTTCAATTATAATGATAAAGATACCATGTTCAATTCAGTCCTTCTGTCATTTATTTCCGTCTTCTGGCAAGGTTTTCTGTTCAATTATATATAGGTTTTCCTGCTTTAGTTTTCAGGTTATTAATGAAAATATTCATTCATAAAGAAAAAATAAAAAAGAAAAGAAAAGTCAACTAGTTATTTGGGATACAAGTGTGCTATATTTGCATTAGAGCACTGATTGTTTCTCTAATTCTCTCTATCTTTATGTCATTTTGCTGTTGGAAGATCATGTATTCAAACCTTTCTCCCAGCGGATCCTTGAAGCTGTATGAGTTTATAGCAATGGTAACGGTGGTGATGATAGTTCTCGCTCAGATCCCAACCTTCCATTCCCTTAGACACCTCAATTTTGCTTCTCTGCTTCTTAGCTTGGGCTACACATTCCTTTTTGTTGGTGCTTGTATCCAAGCAGGTATACAAATCATTGAGCTGCCTTTCAATCTTTATATGTAATATGTTGCCGTAAATTCAGAAGAAGATTGAATGAAATGGAGCCAGTGTATTCATAAATAGTCACGACCGCCTAGAAGCAAAAATTGATCACTCTTGAATCGTATGGCCCAGACTGCATACAAGGTTGTGACTTGAAATGTCACTATGACATGTGAGAGACTCAATGCTAGGCCCAAGTTGACCTTATAGTTTGTTGAATAGACTTTAATACTGAACCCCAGCAATGAATAAATTTTAGTTACTGCTTAGATCTTTTAGTTAAGCTCCTTGAAGATTATAGTTGAATTTCAGTCTCTTCTATCCCAAGTCTTGCAATTTTTTATAATATACAGATTATATAATGACACCATTTTTGGATTTAAACAACTTTTATTAGTCCCGCAGGTCTCTCTGAAAATGCCCCTCATAGGGACTATTCGTTGGAATCTTCAAATTCATCAAGGGTGTTTAGCGCTTTCACTTCTATCTCCATATTAGCTGCCATTTTTGGGAATGGGATTCTTCCTGAAATACAAGTAAATTTCAACTCTTTGATGAATCTTTTATATAATGCTTGCTGGAAATCCATTGCTTATGATAGTCGGAACTTGGAATAACCTAGATTACAGAGACTAATACTTACTGATGAAGCCGTGCTAATGCAGCTGAAGTTTCCAAATATAATTTGTTTGATTTCTAATTTTTAATAAAACCATTCAACAGAATATTTTGAACCATCGTTTAGTCAATATATGCTTCTTGTTTTACTTTTAACAACGCTGTTTTTGATACAGGCAACACTGGCTCCACCTGCCACTGGAAAGATGGTAAAAGGACTCCTTATGTGCTACAGTGTAATTTTTGTTACTTTCTACTCAGCTGCAGTTTCTGGATACTGGGTTTTTGGAAACAAATCCAATTCAAACATTCTGAAGAGTCTAATGCCGGATGATGGACCATCTTTAGCCCCAACAATAGTTATTGGCCTTGCAGTTGTATTTATTCTTCTACAGCTATTTGCCATTGGGCTGGTATGTTCTTGTTCTCAAAAAATGAAGATTGGAGAACATTAATTAATTAATTCTGGCTCCCTTACCATGTTCAAAATCAGGAAAATATTTTCGCAATGAACTATTGTTAAAAACCTTATTTCAAGTTGCATTGAGGTAATATTTCTCCAATATAACACAGGTTTATTCTCAAGTTGCATATGAGATCATGGAAAAGCAATCAGCTGATATAAAGCAAGGGATGTTTTCCAAAAGGAACCTCATTCCCAGGCTAATTCTTCGGACTCTGTACGTGATATTCTGTGGGTTTATGGCAGCAATGCTTCCTTTCTTCGGTGACATCAACGGTGTGATAGGCGCTGTTGGCTTTATTCCTCTAGATTTTGTCCTCCCTATGCTTCTTTACAACATGACCTATAAGCCCCAAAAATCATCCCCCACTTACTGGATCAATATTTTTATCATAGCTGCCTTCACCGGTGCCGGAATCATGGGCTCATTCTCTTCAATCAGGAAGCTGATTCTTGATGCCAACAAGTTCAAACTCTTTAGCAGTGATGTGGTTGATTAAGAATATGCATAAACGACCTAAACGGGTCTCCTCCGAAATTTGAAGGGAACGCATAGTGAAAGTTCTTTTGGCCTGGCTAAAGTGTAGGATGATAGTCAACAAACATTTATTTAGATATGTTTCATAAGACGTGGCATAGGGTAGGGTTGTTACCTCTCATTAAAAGGGTTGAGATCTAAGGTTTGAATCTCCTCTCCTTTAGGCTTTAGATTTCATCATGTGTGTATAAAAAAAATGTGTTTTCACACTGATTTGTGCGTATATAGCTGAGATGAGGCATAGGCACTTGCCTTAATTGCTGTGAATGTATATGAACCCATATTATTGTAAATTTTATAGGGTTAAAGTAGATAGAGGACAGGAAAATAGTACATAAAACATTGTTATAAGTCAACCTTAAGTTTCCTTTTCTAAACCAGATCAAGATTGTAGGTGGCACTCTGCAGAAAAACTAATTGAATTTGTAATTCAAACTTGCAAGAATGCACCAATGACCAATAGCATTCCAATTTCAATCCTGTATTATTATTATGTTTTTTTTTTGGATCAAAGGGAGCAAAGTTTCATGGCAGAAGGGCATGTTCTCCTCCCTTTCTTCAGGGTCCGCATGATATATATATTGTGAACTGAAGTCAAGTTGTTCACATCCTGTAAGCACGTTTTCAACCAGATCAATAAATTATCTTTCCAGGTGTAAGCACGTTTTAAGGACATGTTTTACAGTCATAAAGGGGGGAAATCTGGCTACACAATTATTCATATGGAGATTATTTAATCAGTGAAAAACCAAAGTTTCTTCATGATCAATACAAACTCCTTATAATATCAACACTGGCAATTAATTGGGTAAGAAAAAAATCAGTGAAAGAGATGAAAACATTTTCTTGTCACTCACTTTTCCTAGACCTTTCTCCTATAATAATCTTCTCAATTAAAGTGAAGGATTGGGTTTTAAACAACAAGTAATTAAATAGAAAATGGTAATCTCTCTCTCTCTTACCAACCATACCACTATTAGGTTTGTGGTCAAATTCCAAAGATCATGGATCATTTTCTTCCTATTCTCCATAGAAGTTATAGTAGTAATAAGTATATTAAAAATTGCCAACATTTTGTTCGCACATTAGCTCTGCTGTGATTGTCAATAAAAGAAAATTCTTCTACTTTTTTTTTTTGTTTTCTTTTGTAGAAATGAAAACTTCTTCTCTATTGTGAAAATGAAATGATTTGATCACTCTCATGTGATAAATGCATGATCGATTTCAACAAAAAGGAAAACAGATTCTAAGTTTGTAACGTTGCCTGTATTTTAGCCACATATGGGCATACCACAGGTATCCTTTTCTTTTTCTTTTTTCATTGCAAAATCCAACTTTTGTAATATAAAACAATGCAAGAAACTCCAAATCAATTTTTGCAAACCTGGAACCCCAAATGAATCCTGATTTCTTCCCAAATGATGAAATACACAGGCTGCAGCTTTTTTACTTTGAATCTTTTTTTTTTTCTCTTGTGAACTTATCTGAGATCCTTTCGCCAGCTTTAAGCAATAAATAAATAAATTAAACATAAGCACAATGCTTAAATTATTATATGGGGTGATGAGGGCCATAGCTGAAGGGCTATATATATATATAACAAAAAACAATGGATATTCATATATGTTCATACTGAATTATAGCATTAACAATGAAGAGATGTCAGTAGTCTTATATTCTTCAAATTTCACACCAATCGCTTGCATGACCAATATTTCAATGATGGCATTAACAAAATTAACAAAAAAATAGAAAAACGTGAACAAATTAAACAACTGTTGACTCATCAAGTTCCAATTTTTTTAGTGCTCGGAATATTATGTAAATTAACCATCCTTTTGTAAAGATTGAAAATATTGCAAAGAAAAAACATTTTTATTTGGCCATTTTAAACAAAAGTTAAAATTTCTTTTAAGGGAGTTTTTAACACAAATTAAATAATTTGATGCACCGACTAAAAATCGTAAAATTAGAATTTTAATTTTAATTCAATTAATTTACATAATTATTTTTAAAAAATAACATTTAGTATAAATTTATAATTTTTTTAATATTTCCTATCACTATAATTTTTTTTTTGTTTTACGAAAGCAAATTAAACCCATTGAAGATAAGATCTTCATGTTCTAACACCAAGAATAATTCTTCAAGTATGGAATCAAAATCAATTTTCTAGCTAGTTCAGATTTGTCTATCATATTTTGTTCAAAACCCATAAAAATGACCAAAGTATTCCAACCATAAAAACGATCAACAGAAGATATTGTCGGCCACGCTATTGTTTTTGGTTCATACATATAATTAGCTGAAAAAAATGCGATTAAGGGATAACTGTTGAGAAAAAGAATGTGTGATTAAGAAGTGTTCGAACTTTCAAAGATTCTAAATTAATCTGATAAATATAATAATTAGTTTTACTAGAAATGGAGATTAGATAGAATTGAAATGAGAAATGTCTAATCTCTCTCCATCCTTCAATAAATGCATGGAAAGTCCTCTCTTATCTTTAATCGTCCATACGATGAGACCGTGAACGCAGATCATGTAACTAACGCGTTGGATTACACCAACCATTAGAAAATCAAACAAATGAAAGTCTTTAAAAAAAATTGCCCTTTATTTTCTTTCAAATCTTCACACTTGTGTAGAGATCTTTCTTTTTCGCCATTACTTTTTTTTTTTCTTTTCCCTATTACCAAAAAAATGGAGAAATTAATCCAAGAACAAAAGAAGAACCAAACCCAAGACACCGAACTGATGGAGGAAAAACGTCAAGAACAGAAGCAAAGCCAAACCCAAGAGGCCAAACAAAAAATGCAGAAGACCCAAGAGGGCCGGCATCTTGTATGGGACTGTGGTAGTAGTCTTTATGACTCGTTCGAACTCAACTCTTTGAAGCGTCAGCTCGACTCAGCAATCCATTCAAGAACCATGTCCATGCCCCATTTAGTCGATGCTCGAGCTCCTCCTCCTCCTCCACCACAATCTACCCTTCCCCCTTCAGTTTCCAAGAAGCAGCCTTCCAAGTTCTCTCGCTCGATTTATAAACTCTTCAAATCCATGTTCAAGTTCAAACAAAGTTCAAGTTCTTCCGTTTTGTGGCTGAAACAAAGATCGCACGAGGAGTACTACGTGGTTTACGACAAGACAGGTGCACTGACAACGATCCCCGAGGCTCCGGAGATTGATTATGGAAGGCTTTCGCCAGAGATTAACTCGTTGGCTGTTAAAAGAACTGCATCAGAAAGGTTCACTACAGCCTCCACTATCGGTTTTTATTGTGCTTGATATACAAAATATAAAGTAGGCTTATTCAGAAATATATTTATGAATAAACGAAGACGTGATCAAATAGTTCGTCTATATTTTGATCATTTTTTAAGTTTTTTTAAGATGTTTTGTTTCTCCTTAAGATTAGGTTACTTGAAGTTTTGAACATTGACCTTTCATGTCTGAATTATATATGATCATCAGCTGAATCTCTTTAATCGATATCAATAGGGTTATTTCTTTTTTTTTTCTTTTCCTTTTATCTTTTGTTGGTTAAACTTCATGATTAGCCTCTTGGATTAATCCCCAAGGGGCTTAAGGGATCAAAGATTTTCTACCTAATGATCCAGTGGCTGCATTTGTTCAAGCCATTGATCTGTGTATGACAGAGGTGACCTTGTTTAATGCGATAGTGCTCAAATATGGATCCTAAGTTTTTCATAGCTTTTCCTGCTGTGGCCCAATTGAAACATGTTTTGTTGGTGAAAAGCCATAGAGAAATTATACATTCAAGCCTTTTTTATATATGCAAGGGTGATTCATTTTGCTTTATGTATGGGGTCTCTATGCATGGCAGTTCAAGATTTTTCTTAATTTAGGAACCTATGACCTAAGAAATTAAAAACCTTTGCTCTAACCATTTATTTTTCTCTTGCATTTCACGGGATTCATTCCCGTCTATTTTTGAAAGCAACTTGACAACTCTATTTGTAATTATGCATTACAGTTATTACTACTTGTAAGATGAGTTATTGCATATTTACCATTTCTCTGGCACTACCTATACATACATACATATATATATATATATTACCAATATATATTCACATGTACTTATTTTTTGTTCTTTCACGTCTAATGTCATATATATATATATATATATATATTTGGAATCTCTTTATCATCATAAAACACATGCATATGGGTGAAAAATGTATAACTCGGCATGAAAGTATCAAGTATTTTGTGTGTGTGTGTGTGTGTGTGTGTGATGGCTCAGGTTTAAAATGAGTGATGAGTCTCATTCATGTCATGTACGATCACCACATTTCAATGTGGTTTATTATTATCGTGTTTGCGGTGAGATTGATTTTTTCAATCATAGAACTGGTCTGCAGTATCAATCGGGTGTTTGTTAGATTTGTGGATTGATATATTTATATCATATAAAATATTGATAATTTTTATATATTTGTAACATATTTTATATGAATTTTGTATGTCATAATTCATATCAATATAAAAATAATATATTTTTAATTTTATTAAATTCATATATAATTTTTATGAAAATTTTAAATTATATCACTTTTATATAATTTTTATATCATATTATCATTTAGTGTTTTAGATTATTAGACATTGTCAAAGGTAAATAAGATGATAGACCCCCGTGACCTGATGAGCCCACGAAATTATTGCATTGGCTTCGTTCATGAAAGGGTGGGAAGAAGAAAGAAGGTATTTTGAAGAGTGACAATCCTTGACGTAAAATAGCTCAATAATATGGAAATAGTAAATAGTAAAGTTAAAAATATTTATGCTTTAATTAATTGATGCTTTTATTATTTATATTATTTTTATTATAAAGTGAAAAATAAAAAATAACTAAAAGCAAGATATAAATAATAAAAAATAAAAAACAAAAGTACCAATCAAATGAAGTTTTATTTATTACGTAGAAAAATAAATAAATAAAATTTAAATAATTCTCTATTATGAAATGAATCTTATTACATTTGGAATAAATAATCATTTGACAAAAAACAAAACTTAAAACAACAAGCTTAATTATTATTCTTAAAACTTAGAATAAAAGATACTGTGGGTATTAATTTTCATTTTGAAGTTTTTGGGCTTTCGGCTGAAGTTCAAGGGTCAAAAATTTCAATTCATTTAAATCCCTCAGTTGGGCTTTTTATTGGGCTAACCCATCGTCTTCAATTCTCTATTTGTGACTGCCATCGTGGTGATGCCAATTGATGACCGTCTGCTAGATGTAGAATTGAATTTTGTCATCATTTGAAAAGTATTTGCAGATTTGTTTCAGTCAATATTCAACTGAACTCAATTTCTTATTCTTCTATGACTAATAGACGGAACATAATTTTTGATAATTTTTTTTAGGAGAATCGGAAAAAACCTTGCTGGTAAAAGGGGTTAATTAATTGGAATCCTTCTAATAAACACAGGAAGAAAGATTAGAAGTAAGGAAGGGTAACTTTTGATTATTGGACAGCATTGAGATCTTTGAATTCGAATTTTATTAATGATTATTTATTAAAATTATTTTAAAAATTTATAATTATTTATTTTAAATTATTAAATATGATATATTTTATTTTAATTTGAATAATTTAACAATTTATTTACTAGGGATTTATTTTTACCGAAAATTTTTTTTTATCGTTAATTAGTGATCAATAAATTTAATAGGGATGGATTCGTTGTTGCCTTGATCAGCTGCGAAACCCAAATTGTTCCCACGGTCAGACACCACAATCCATCATGGAAACCACCCAAGAATCACCGCTCAATTTAATCATCGTGCCTACTCCAGGCATCGGTCACTTGATCCCGCTCATCGAGTTCGCCAAACTAGTTGTTGAGTTCCACAAGTTTACAGTAACTTTCATTGTTCCCAACGATGGTTCGCCCATGAAACTCCAAAGACAACTCCTTTTAACCCTACCTGAAACAATTTCCTCCATCTTTCTCCCTTCTGTTAGCTTTGACGATCTGCCTGAGGATGTCAAAATCGAGAGCCGGATTGTACTCAGCTTGACTCGGTCACTTCATCTCCTCAAAGATTCGTTAAAAGTACTAACTCAGTCAACTCGAGTAGGGGCCTTTGTTGTTGATGTTTTTGGCATTGACGCGTTTGATGTCGCCAAAGAATTTGGGCTTGAACCATATATTTTCCTCACTACATCTGCTATGTTGTTATCATTGGTATTTGAGATGCCTAAGCTTGATCAGATGTTTTCATGCGAGTATAGAGATTTGCCAGAGCCGATCAAGTTACCAGGATGCGTGCCATTTTATGGAAGAGATATTGCTGACTCGCTTCAACACAGGAAAAATTCTACGTACCAAGTGGTTCTTCAATTATGCAAACGTTACTCATTGGCCGCTGGGATTATCGTTAACAGTTTTATGGATTTGGAAAAGGGTGCTTTCGAGGCTTTGATGGAGGGTGGGCGTGGTTTGCCTGCCGTTTACCCAGTTGGACCTCTGATACAAAATGGTTCAACCAATGAAGTTAAAGAGTGGTCTAAGAATTGTTTAAGGTGGTTGGATGAGCAGCCTGGCGGGTCTGTTCTTTACGTCTGTTTTGGAAGTGGTGGGACTCTGTCGCATGAACAGCTAAATGAATTGGCACTGGGTTTGGAAACGAGTGGGCAAAGATTTCTTTGGGTTGTAAAGAACCCCAATGAAAGAGCAGCAAGTGGCACTTACTTCGGAATAGATAGTGTCAAGGACCCCTTGGCTTTTCTGCCCGATGGTTTTTTGGAAAGGACAAAAGAGGTGGGTTTGGTGGTTCCATCTTGGGCTCCTCAAATTCAGGTCTTGAGTCATTGCGCCACCGGTGGGTTCTTGACCCACTGTGGCTGGAATTCTATATTGGAGTCTATCGTTCATGGTGTGCCATTAATTGCATGGCCACTCTTTGCAGAGCAAAAGATGAATGCCGTACTCTTAAAAGATGGTTTGAAGGTTGCAGTTAGGGTGAATGAGAACGAAGACGGGCTCGTTGGGCGAGAAGATATTGCAAAACATGCAAAGGAACTGATTGACGGGGAAGAAGGGCAACTGCTTAGAACCAGGATGAGAAAACTGAAAGATGCTGCCACAATGGCTATAAACCCAGATGGATCTTCTACAAAATCCCTTGCAAAGTTAGCAGAAATTTGGAAGAAACAGGAAATTTAATAAAATTGTCAATGTTTAATTTTTCAGATTGCATATTTGCATTCGTAATACTGTGTCTTGTTTGTCAAATGTCTTGTACCAACAATAAAGTTTTTGCGTTTTGAAGTTGCAGGTCAATTATATCACTTACTTGAATCATGAGATGAGAGTAATTATAATAGAGTTTATATTTGATATGTATGAATTTTATATATTATTAATAAATTAAATAATATTATTTTATTAATGAGTATATATTAATTTTTAAAATAAATATATAAAAATTTATTTATTAATAAAATAATATCATTTGATTCATTTTTAATAAAATAATATTATTTTATTTATTAATAATATATAAAAATTATACATTAAAGTGCCTTAAATGTAAACCCATTATAATATGTTTATCACGTCTTTTCAATTAATTACATTAAATAATCACACCTGTTGTTCGTATGCGCATCGAATTGCAAAAGTCAATGTTCAATACATGAAACAGTTGGAATTTGATGCCCAGTATAATTTGAATAAACAAAGAAAATAAAAAAGCCCTTAATAATTCAAGTATCAATACCAGATATATCCTTAAAAAATAATATTCAAGTCTCGAATTTAAATTTTAATATTTACATATTTTTTTTTTACTTTTAAGCCACGATTTTCTTTTAAATTAGCAAGTGATTTTTGAATCTGATTGAAAGCTGCTTATAAAGGACTTACAAAAGAAGAATTGAAAGGAGAATAGTGCTGAGAAACAATGGAAATTATGAAGGGATATTGGATTGCTTTACGGTGAAAAAGGAAGATGTGCCAGGTGCAACTCAATCACCATCATTGGTCTTCATTTTGGACAAGCATGGTCCGCCTGCAACTCCATGATGCTGTTTTTGTAGTTTCCCTCATTCTTCTGCAGTTTTATGTAATCTGTAGCAGATGTTTTACGCTATTTTTCAGATTTGATCAAATTTTGTGGGTACACATTATTTTTAATTAATATTCTACATATTATTGACATTTTCATCAAATTCTATCAATTTTTAATTTTAATTTCAAATTTAATTTTTATTCAATCCATTTTAATAAAAAATTTCACGACCTAAATAATCTTACCCAAGTTTTCTCTTGCAATAAAATGCTTTTATGTGGAAAAGAAAAGAGAAAAAAAAACCCTCAATGTATATATACATGAATTAAGTAATTAAAACTTCGTAAGTTACATGAATTAAGTAAAAAAATTATAACTTATTTTCTTATTCATTTTAACTTTGTAATCTGCCCAGTTCATTAAAAAAAATATATATTTATAATTACACTAATGGCCTCAGCCCAATAGCTTAGCCAATATTTCAGAACACCAGCTTGGGCTTGGACCTCTCAAAACCCCCTAGTTAGGGTTTTGTTGCACCTGAATCTGTAGTAAATTGTACGGACATGGAAAAATCAGTGGTGACACTCGATAGAGGCACGACGTGCTCTGCCTGGAACTACTGCGGCGAGAGATTAGCGGCCCGTTCCGTCGACGGTTCTCTTCTTATCTTAGATTCTCGTGACCCTTCCTCTTCTTCCTTCTCTTGCTCCTTCAAATTCAAGGTCACACTAAACAAAAGAATCTTTTTTTCTTCCCATTTGTATTTATTTCTTTAGTTAATAAATAATTAGCGTATTTAAGGCCTATAATTTTTTTATTTATTTTCTTGGATCTTAGGCGCATGAAGCCGCCATTGTGAAGGTTGCTTGGGTTCCTGCTGAGTATGGGGATGCTGTTGCCTGCATTTATGAAGATGGGTCTTTCTCAATATGGGCAGAGCTTGTAGAAGGTTTTTTTTTTTTTTTTGAACTTTTTAATGCTTAGATTTGGTGGTAATATTTAAAAAATGTCAATTGATATTGTAAATTTTGTTAGGTACACAGCCTCTTCAATGGAAGCTATGCAAAAGCTTTAAGACTAGTTCTTAGGTTTTAGATATTCAATTTGGAGTCAATCAAAGGAGTTTGAAAATGGTGAGCTTTAAATCTGGATGGGTTTTTGCTATTCTGCTTCATGTTCCCATAATGGCGCATATAATTTATTTTGCTTTTACAATTGACTTTTTCATTGCTTCTTTTCATTTTATTCTACAGGTTGCTGCTTACTCAGACGGCTGTGCGAAAGTCTTTGAGCTCCTCGACCCGTTGGACCTAAAGAACTGGCAACTTCACGTTATCAATTATCTGAATCTATCCTCTCCTTTTTTTACTCTTGCATGTTCTAGATATCAAGCCATTCCTAGTCATCAGTTTTGCAGGGTTTATTATACTCTCACGAGTGTCTGTACTCTGTCAACTCATCCACTTTGTGATTTTCTTTTAGCTTTTTTTTTTTTTTTTTAAATTTCAGGCTGAATTTCAAAATGTTATAGATTCCGTTTCTACATTTGGGAAGGCTTCATGCTTAACAGCATGTATTTCTTGGAATCCTCAAAGTGGTGAAGGCCAAGAATCAAGCTTTATTTTGGGTTTCAATGCTAACACTCCAGAACTCAATTCTCCCAAGGTATTCATAAATTCATTTTCCTTGCAGCTAAATTCTGCTCTAATGTGATAGGATTGGGGTAGCATCAATTCAGTCCATATATTAGCATTATCTCTGTACTATACGGCACATTTTTATTGGTTTGGTTTATCAAGTTCCAGAAATCCTGAGTTCTTGGAAGTGGTGCAAGTCTGGTAGCCAAAATATAACTTATATTTTGATGTTAGGAGTTCTTCTGGTAGCAGTGTTCTTGAGTGACTTGCATACTGACAAAAACATGTAGATGTGTTGTTAAAATTGCTAATTTAGACTCTCTCTAGAGTTTCATAGGTGTGGGAATTTGATCCAGCTCATCACAGATGGCTGCCAGTTGCAGAGTTGGCTTTGCCTGCTGACAAGGGAGATCAAGTTTATTCTGTTGCATGGGCATCAAATATTGGACGGTAATGGAAATTATTATTCTTTGTGTAATTATGTCTTTTATGAACCATTGATCATTAGTAGAATTCTAGACTTTGTAATCTAGAGTCCACGAGTTCCTCCTTTATGTTGAGGTTCAACTGTGATAGTTTCCAGACCATTTGCATTGAGAATTCTGCTGAAACTAGTTACCTTTTTTTTTATGGTATAGGCCATTTGAGGTAATAGCTGTTGCATCTCAGAAAGGAATTTCTATATGGCACGTTGACTTGGATGGAAGGCTCTCAATAGAGAAGGTTGCACTGCTTTCAGGACACAACAGTGAGGTATTCAATAGTTAAAAACTTTATGTTTGAGCTTCTATACATTGTTTTCCATTAATCTACTTATGATTTTGTACATTTTTTTGTGTGTTAATTTCTCCGTATTAGTTTGACTTTCAACATAATAGCTGCAGTTTGAAGTTACATGGTGAGACAAATTATCTAAAATGCACTCTGGTAAAACTTAGGCAACCTTAAACATGATTTTGAGAAGGTTGAAGGTTACATTACTAGTGCAATATACCAAATTATCTCTCTGAAAATTCTCAAAGTTTCTTTCTCAGTTTCTCATCATGGAACAATAAGAGCCCTGGCCTGGTTCCAGGGATCTTAATTTATCACTCTGTCTACCTGCTTAACCATCTACCTCCTCTTGCTTAATTTGTCTCTCACCACAAAAGCAGCATCAATTTCTTTTGTCTTTATCTTAGCCTTTTCTCATTTCTTTTTGGGTTCTGTTTCCTTTAACTAGTCTGAATTTTGCATCTTGTTGCCTTCGTCTTTCTCATTTTCTTGTGAAATTCTGGTTGATGATAGATTATAAATGGCAGTTGTCATAGGGTTTAGAGAGGTGCCTTGATGATTGATTGAATGCATGGTACTCTAAACTCGGCAGACATAACATTTAATTTATGTAGATGTTCTAAAAATATTTTTATTTTTCTTACTTTTATTTGTAGCTGGTAGCAGGCTTATCTTACCATGATCTGGAACTCTTTAGTTGAATTTCCAACTTTGCAATATCCAAATTAGTGCTTGTTATGAGTATTCAGACTGAGTTTATCATGCCTAAATGGTCCGGCTGCCCCTATGCTACTTTTTGGTAAATGCTACACTAGCAGGACAATCTAACCGCTTAGTGCTCTAAGCTAGGTAGCTAAAGTAATGGAAGACTTTTTATTCATCTTTACATCTACCTTTTTGCCTACTTATTCATTAACATTTTAGACGAAGAAAGGCTTTTGCCCATGAAACACCTTTGCAAGTTGGGTAAGTGTTGATATCAGTGACTGAATACATACAAGCATATGCATTACTTTAGACCTAATCTTCCACCTTTTGAGGAGGAAGTTGGATAATATAGGTATTCATGACATGAAAAATGCAAGTAAGACCAGGAGAAAGAGGTTATTATTATGAACATAATCAATGAAACTGCTGAACTTTATATCCTCTCCATGCCTGCCTGCTCTCCTATTCTATTTTAGTTTAGATATATTTGTTTCACTTTCATGGAAAAGGTGAGTTTGATTATTAAAATCATTTTCTTTGTTTGCTGATCAGGTGTGGCAGATGGAATGGGATATGAGTGGAATGACCTTGGCAACTACTGGTAGTGATGGGCGTGTGAGGTTGTGGCAATCTAACTTGAATGGTACTTGGCATGAACAAGCAGCATTTTAACCAACTTCGTCTTAGTCTCTGTATAAACGTGTTCTTCTCTAATTCCCTCGCTCTCTTCTGGTTTTGCTACCCACCCAAATTGTGCTTTTGTTTGTGAGTGCATAGTTTCCAACACCATTTTCATCCCCTTTTGTTGTTTTTAGAGTAATGGTGTCAAAACTGAAGGCTTTACTGTCTCTGCATCCATATTTATCATAACTAAATTTGCCTTTTGGCAGGGTGGGAAAAGGAAGCCGAAAAAAGGAAAAATAAAAAACTAAAATTAATAGAAAGGATAATAAAAGTAAAATATCTTCAATGCACCCAAAAAAAACTTTAATTGGTCACGTCATGCCAGCTGTATAAATTGAGAATGAACTTTGTTTGAGACTTCAATAACGGGTGGTCTAAAATATAGGATTGATATGTTTGGATTTGATTCGATTATTTGGATAATATATAATATTGTAAATTTTTTAAATATTATTTAAATTTGAATCGATTTTTTTTAAAAGTTAAATTAATTTAAATATTATTATTATTTTTTGAAATAATTTCAATTTGAATTAAATATTATTGGTTTGATTTAGTTTATTAGTTTTTAAATTTTATTTTTTATATATTATTTTAGTAAGTATTTTAATATATTTAAATAAATTTATATATAAAATAATTGTTTTTATTTTATAAAAATTTAAAATATTTATAAAATTAATAAAAATATATAATTTGGTTTAATATAATTATTTTTTTCAATCTGATTTAAAATTTGATTCTAATATAATATATATTTAATATAGGAATATGATTCAAATTGAATAAAAAAATTGATTTAATTGAATCAAATATTATGATTTGAAATTATTTTTTAATTTTTTTCTCAAGGCTATTTCTAGATAAAGTTCAATAAATGTATTCGATTTTTTTTTTTTATTTCAAGTAACAATTATTTCAAATATTATCGATCCGTTGTCCTCTTCTTTAATTCTCCCATTTTAGTTGATAGATATGACAAAACATGACAGGGAGTTTCTGCATCACGATTCTTGTTCTTCACATTTTATTTTATTTTTTATAAGTGAAATTATTTAAATATTTATCTCACAAATTGTTAAATATTCATGTCCAACAAATTTTTAAATTTTTGAAAATGCATTTTTGAAAAGTTATTTAATTTTTTTTAAAAAATGAATTTTTAAAAAATTATAAAACTTTTTTGAAATCTATTTTTACGAAGAGGAGTGTGAAATTTTAAGAAAAATTGTAAAAAAAAAATTATGAAAATTTTTTATAAATAATATAATGAAAAAAACATTATTTAAAAATCATAAATTGTAAAATTAATAAAAAATTAATTTAACTATTTTAATTTAAAAACAAATAAAATCTTACTAGGCTTTAACAAAATATTTCACCTCTTAATATTACGATGATAAGAGTTAAAATTTTTTAAAATTATATAAGTAATATTACTGAATAATATATAATTTTATGTTACTAATATTGATTTTTTTTTACGATTGAGCATTCTCACCATACTAAAATTAATTTATAATTGAACCCTTCAATACATATATGTATTTTTATTAAAAAATGAAATTTGAATATTTTCATCCTTTTAATTTAAGTCGTATATATATGATTTCATTAACTGTAAATTTGTGAGTTCGTATTTATCTCTGAGTAATATTTGGAGTGGTTATTTATGATATTATACAATTTGTGCAAGGAAACGTGCGTACAATATGCTTGTGATTGATCGCTTTAATGGGATTTTTATTTTTTTGGCCGGATGAGAGAAATTATTAAACGTCTGACATTCTCTCGCGCTTGGTGCCAATGAATTTTTTATTTTTTTTTTTTTTTTGGTTATTTGATGGTTGATTGTATCTTTTTAGGAAAATTAAATAGTCACATAAGAACCGATGCTTATTTGGCCGACTTGAATGTTAATTTATTTTTGTCGATCAAACCAGAACGTCAAATACTATTTATTTCCTTTTCCTTCTAGTAAATGTGGGAGAGACACCGAAGGACAACAGCAACGTGCCAGAGGAAACCCATATCATTTGCTGATGGAGCGGCGCACATGATTCTTTCTCTTTTTAGATATTTTTTTGGTCTTCTCCATCTTTAAGAACTTTGCATATTTCTGATTTTCTCTAATCCAAACTGAGTGGAGCCGAAAAGAAAGAGATCTGAATGGGGAAGCAAGCTATAAGCAAGGTCTGCGTTACTGGAGGTGCAGGATATTTAGGTTCTTGGCTTGTTAAGAAGCTCTTAGAAAAAGGCTACACCGTCCATGCAACGCTACGAAACTTGGGTTTTTTTCCCTCTCACTTTCCCGCTTTTTTTCCCTCTATGTGCTTGTTTCCTGCAGTTAATGAAATTTCAGATGATAGAGAATTTGACATCTGAATTGCAGAGGACAAAGAGAAAGTAGGCCTTTTAAAGTCACTCCCTGGTGCAGACACCAAACTAGTGTTATTTAAAGCTGATATGTACAATCCCAATGAGTTTAAACAAGCAATTCAAGGATGTGAATTTGTCTTTCACGTGGCTACTCCACAGCAAACTGGCAGTGACAGCACTCAAAGCTCGCAGGTTAGTCTCTTCATCATGTTAGCGGCCAGCTGCTGATCATTGATTGTTTTCATTCCCTCAAGCCAATTTTACATGCAGTAAATAAAGTCAAGGTGATGGTAGCTTCTTTACTGTAACAGTAGTTTAAAGGTTCTTTTTGTTGTTTTTCTTTTTGGGGGGGGGGGGGGGGGGTTTACACAGGAAATCGTTGAAGCAGCAATTTCAGCAGTGAGGAGCATCGCTGAGTTCTGCATCCAATCACAAAGCGTTAAACGGCTTATCTACACAGCTTCTGTGATGGCATCCTCACCACTAACAAAAGATGGATTTAACATCCAATCTTGTGTAAATGAATCGTACTGGACTCCTATTAATGTCACATTAACCCACGGCCTTGAATTTATGCGGGTACTCTCCTTCGCTCCCTCATTTCCATTGCCCTGTGACTGACAGATATGTCCCTGTCCCTGCCTCTTGCTTTAATGTTCAATTTATATATGTATATTTATATCTATATATTCAATCTTTATATGCAATTTATAATTATATCCCTCTGTTTATCCAAATGCACTTCCGCAATTTTTTTATTTGAATTTGGTTTCTCTTTGCTACTTCTTTTTCTCTAATATTAATTAATTGCTTTAAATATTATAAATTTCAATCCCAAATTTCCCGACATAAAATTTCTGCTGTTATTATTATTATTATTATTATTATTATTATTATTATTTTGATAATGAATATCCTGCTGTTAGGCATATACTATATCAAAAACCCTAGCGGAGAAAGAGGCATTGAGTTATAACGACAATCCTGATGGCAAGTTAGAGGTTGTAACTCTTCCCTGTGGCCTAGTGGGAGGAGAGACACTACTCTCTTTTGTTCCTTTAAGCGTGGAAGTGATGTTTTCGCAGCTTATTGGCAAATTACCTACTTTCAAGGGATTAGAACTTCTGGAAGAACTTTTGGGATCCATTCCTATACTACACATCGAAGATGTTTGCGATGCACATATCTTTTGCATGGAGAAACCATCCATAAGAGGCAGATTCATTTGTGCAGCAGCTAATCCAACCATCAGAGAAATCGCAACGTATTTTCGACAAAATTATCCACAATTCCAGATAACAGAAGAGTAAGTTATGATTAATATATATATATATATATATATATATTATATAATTATACTAAATATACTAAAACATTTTATTATTTGATTTTGATTTCAATGGACAGGTTCATGGGGGAAGAAAAGAAAGGCATTGCATGTGATTCCAGCAAATTGGTGAAGATGGGTTTTGAGTACAAACACGACATGAAGAAAATATTAGATGATAGTGTAATATGTGGAAGGCGATTGGGAGCTATCTTTCTCAATTAGTCTTGAATTTATGATCAAGCCAAATCACTTGGATTTTGGCAACAGATTAAGTGGTTGCTTATAATTTCATGTCAGTTTTCACTACTCACTAGCTTGCCTATTAAGTTTCAAGTAATTAATCAGTGGGTTATGGCTGTGCATTGCCTTTGCCAGGAACTACATATTTGAAATATTTGATGAAAAAACTTTTGAAATAAAATTGTCTAGGTTATTTCATGTGCAATTTGATCCTTTGGCTCCTCAAGGGAATTGTCAAAGTGAAAATGGAGCAATTCCTGTAATTAAGGATACATAGAGACGTTATTTTATTGGCTTCAAAGCTTGAACTGAAAAAATCTGATATAAGCTAAGTCTTTTACTTTGTGTTTCTATATATAATCGGATAAGACAATTAAAATTACGTGTGAATAATTACTAACATTCAATTGTCCATTAACTAAGATAATAATTTTACTGATTAGATTTTTTAAGATTATAAATTCAAGATGATTTCTTTTTGGAAAAGATAAATTCTAAATGATTTAAATACGTACTTACTATCTTCCTGATTCGAATGATTGATTAAGAATGTTAAACAAAACACTCAATTATGGGTATAGTTTGATTGCATTTTTTATAAGATTGGAAACGTATAAATTTGGAAACTCCATTTTTCGGTGTGCTTGTTGTGGCGTATTTGACTGGAAATAAACTTTCTTGTCGAATGTCGATGGCACCCAAAATATTTCCTTTGCCGTCTGAATCTCGACTTCGCCGCCTCTCGCTGACTTTTGCTTTTGTTTCAACCACTTGTTCGCTTGTTTTTTTGGTTTGTTCAGATTTCCTTGGCCAGTTGGCCTCTTCCATTGGTATTATGCGGCTAGGTTTAAATGTTTCTTGAGAGAAAAATAAAACAAAATTATAAACAACAAGATTATGTCTGTGTCATGTTCATTAATGTAATCAAGGGACAGTCAGAATATATTAGATTATCCGTCAACAGATAATTAGCAGACTTTGGACGGGTTCAATCCAACAACGCAAGATAGCAACTAACCTTATTTAATAGTCATCGGAGTTCTGGCATGAAAGGGTTCTGACAAATTACTTCCCACCACCTCCCTTGCATTAATTTGTTCCTCAAAATAACCAATAAAAACAATACTTAATATATACTTGTTTATAGATAATTCATTTTTATTTTTTGATAAATTATATATAAATATCATACGTTTAAGTTCGAAATAAATTTGCTCCTAATATTTAAAAAGCAATACTTAACCTCCTTATGTTTTACTCTGTTAGTATTATCTTTATCGCTGTTAGATTTTTTTTTTCCTAACTTTACTCATCAGGACACTAATCCACCATTCATCACCATTCCCTTAAGCTTTCTCTCTCTCCATTTTCAAATTTTACTTACCAAGCCACTACTCATTTACATCTCCTCCATGCTCGTGAAATTTTCTCACAAATATATGGGAAAAAAATGTCATTATGCTAAGCAAATTGAATAAAATCTTTTTTCCCTTTTTTCTCTTCTCTTCTTTTTCATTTTGCATATTTGATAATGGCTGCCAACAACTAGAAATCATCCCTTATATCTCATTTTTCACAATTTATTCTTTTAATTATCTTACCCAACTCTCTCTTTCTTCAAACCTAAAACCTTAAAATTGTTTTTTTAATCGAACCAAATGCATTGATAAATTTTTTATTAAAAAACAAAGCTAAATTAAGAGAGATGGCTTCGATTATATTACTATCACCACTGAAATCAAAAAACAGCAATGAATTACTTAATTATGCTGTTATTTCTATTTCCACCAAACTCAGTCGCTTTGGTTTTCAATGGATTGTTGAATAGGTCTTGAAATTTATAATATGTTAGTTTTGAAATTTTTTTCTTTTCTTTTTTTTTTTTCAATGGGTTGCTATGTTTTGAAATTTATGAAATTTGAATTTTTTTTTTATTTTGAGACAATACAAAATGGTTAATATGAATTTTGTTGCTACAGAGTGAAAAGATTAAAAAAATTTCAAAACTAAAGAAATATATTAGAATTTAAAATTTCATGACAAATCCATATGGTATGATTTGGGATTTACCAAAATTTAAAAGAAAAACAAGTTGCAAATGTTTGGAGGTAGACAAGAAGTAAGAAACATTTATAAAAATTGGAAACAATGAAGGAAAAGATGAAAAAAAATTAAAGAACTTCATTTGCTTGGTTTTAGAGAGAGAGAATAAATTGATGATAAAAAGGAAAGGAAAAAATAATAAGAGATGGAAAAAGTAACGGTTTTGGATAAAAAATAATAAAATAAATTATAAGATAATTAAGTATCAGTTTTTAAATCTCAAGAGTCATTTTTAATCCATCTCAAACCACAAGATATTATATGTAATTTACACCATATTTTTTATTATGGATAAACAATACCTAATCCATAAAGGAGAAGTAAAGCATATTTTTATTTTTAATGTTGTTTATAGACAATTTTAAAATTAGTCACTAAATTGTTATATTAATCAACATCAATAAAACATCAATTGGCATTTCTATTAGTTTCATAGTTCTAAGCTTTAAAAACATCTAATTTTGTGTAGTATATTAGGACAAGGCCAGAAGACATGATAGTAAAAAAATGTTATGTCTTGTTGTACCGACATGAAAACCTTATGTCTTCATTAGAAAAAAGAGCTAGTCAAATCGAGGGATATAAATGATACACTAATACTTACAAGCTACTTAAATTTGACTCAAATAAAATTCGAATTTGGTTCAGTTATTATCGAGTTGAGCTCGAATAACTCAATTTATTGAATGAGCCAGGTTTAAGTATTTTAATATTCAACTCGAGTAGCTTATGAGCCTAATTAAGTTTTTATATTTTAATATATTTTAATTAGTAATTTATTGTTTTACCTTAATATACCAAACCTAAAAAACCTTAATGCAATTTTCATTTGTTCTTTATTTCTCTATTTCACTCCCAAGTTCCGACTCCTGACTCTAGCAAGCTATGCCGATTTTCCTCTCTTTGCCTACCCTAAAAAATCAAAGGCCAACTTTCTCTTTCCGTCGATCGACCCCAACAATACATCAGTAGCAACATCTAGGATTTTGGGTTTGTGAACCATGCTTGGATCTATAAATTTCTCCACTAGGTTTTTTTTTTTTTTTAAGGAGCCATGGTTTGTTTTCGTCTGTTGTTGGCCACTTTATGAGATGCTTTTCACATTGAAAGGTAAAGTTGTTTAAGCTTTTTTTCTAGCATAGCTCTAATTTGTATTGTGTTGTTGGTTCCAATAGAAAGTGAAACTTTTATGTTTGATTATTATTTAAAATTAAAAAAATACCCTCAAACTTGTTGTAAAAACTTAGTTTCCACAAACATATTGCTCTTTTGTTCTAAGAAATTGTGTAATGAAGAGAAAATACCATTTTTTTCTTTTCTATTTTCAGTATGATAAGATCCAAAACTACTTTATTTGAAGAGCAGTATTTTTTTATTTTAGTACAATTAGTGCCAATAAATCTAGGAATCAAAGGTAGAAAGACTCAAATTAGATGCATTTTATTTTTCAATAATGCACTAAATATTAGTCAACTTATCCATAACTAGATACATGCATGAAGCTTTCAATAAAAAACCTAATCATTGTCTTGGATTAACTTTTACATATATTATAATATATGATATATTTTTTTGTTTTATCATCCTAAATAAGGAGAAAAAGTTTACGATGTTTCACTTGTGTATTCAAGATATTTTTAATTTGATCCTTCTCCAGTCGAACTTGCATTTTCCTGTGCATCTTCCTTTTTTGTCTTTCAATTTTAATTGAGTGATTCAAGTTTTAATTAATTCAATGCTTAATATTTTTGAAAAAAAAATATTGTTAAAATTTTGAATAAAATTTTATCTAAGATTAAAATTTCAAAATTTTATAATTTTTATATTGTCCCATTAACTTCCAATTAAAAATATAATAATAAAGATTTTTTAACTCAAAAAATGTAGTAATAGTTTATTTTGTTAAAGGTAACTTGGTCTTTTACTAAGCAAACCGAGACTTCAACTATTTCTATTTTTCTATTTTTATTCCTCTTTGCTTGGCTATATAAATATTTATTTCTATTTCTATTTTTCTAAGTAATTTTCATTTCTATTTTTATAATAATGCAGTAGTGTAGCAACAATAGTACTAATTAAAGTTTTATAATAATACGTAGTGCAACAACAACAGTAATAGTCTATTTTGTTAAAACTAATTAGCTAGAATCATGTTCTAACATTCTACTGGATAAGGATCTTGTTATGTATTCCACGAAATTTTCATGTTCATGTTGAGACATGTGGTGTTGGTAAATGGATACTATAGCATGTACATTACTCACATATATATATATATATATCTATTAATTTACATCACTTACATGTTTCTAACAACTTGTTTGGATGCAAGATTTTAATTTGTTTGGCATTATTGTTTGATCCTAAATTAAATTATTGTTTTGATTTGTCTTTTTTTTTTTTTATGATAGAGAACTAAACATATCATAAACCATATTAGATATCTCTTCTATACCATTTTAGCTGACAATAAATTCATTTGCTAGCCAAATTGTGTCAGATAATGATAATGGTTCAATGAATGAACTTTAAATACCACTGATGGTAACACAAATAAAACACCAGTCATTGATACTAATAATAGAGAATGAGATGATACTGACCTTGAAAAGCATGAGAAAAGTAATGAGAAAAAGAGGCAAAAGATATCTAATATTTGATTAGAGTTTAAAGAAAATAGTTTTCCTAATGGTTTCAAAAAAAAAAAAGTGTGTCTATTGCAAGAAGAAGCTAGCTATAAATGCAACTAAAAGTATAACTCAATTTAAAAGGCATTTGATAACTTGTGTTAAGAGAAAATTTTTTCAAAATCAACAGCAAAATATCAACTTCCAGCCAATAGACACATGTGGTGATGTACAGATACTACCTGCTCTCACAGATGTTAAGTTTGACATGGCAAAGATGATAGAGGTAGCTACACATTAGATACTTATGCATGAGTATCCTTTTTCTATGGAAGAGAAAAGTTTTAATATGATGCAAAAATGTGAGATGCCTAAATAGGAAAAAATATCATGCAATACTATTAAAAATGATTGTATGCAAGTTTATGAAGCAAAAAGAAGAAATTAAAGGCATTGTTGAACACTGTCAGTAAGATTAATTTGACGACAGATTTGTGAAAGTCAAATAATCAAAAAATTGAGTACATGGTTCTTACAACAGACTTTATAAATTTTAATTGATGATTGCAAAAGTGCATTATCAGCTTTGTTTACATACCTCCTCCTTATCATGAGGTTAAGATTGTCTATTATATTTTTAAGTGTCTAAAGGAATAAGAAATTGAAAATAAAGTGTCTACACTCTTTGTGGATAATGCTTCAAGAAATGATATGGTGATAAGAATTCTTAAAGACACTTTTTCAAAAAATAAGACGTTACTTTATGGAAGAAAATTATTTTATGTTCGGTGTTATACGCACATCTTAAATCTCATAGTTCAAGATGATCTTTCTAAGATTAAGAATATGATTGAGGGTGTTCATAAAAGTGTCAATTTTATTAATCAAAATGATGTAAGACTTAACTCATTTTCTAATATAGTACAACAGCTGTAGTTGCCGATGAAAAACTCATTCTTAATTGTAAAACACATTGAAATTCAACATTTGAGATGTTTTCGACTGTAATTAAATTTAGATAAGTGTTTTCAAAACTTAAGGAATGAGAATCTCATTATGAATGTTGTCTAAATCATGGAGATTGAGAAAATGTGGAGAAAGTCTATAAGATTTTAAAAGTTTTTAATTGAGTTACTAAAATCATCTCTAGAAGTGATTATCCAACTTCAAAACTATTTTTGAATGAAGTTTATCGTGTAAAAGTGTTATTGGATAAAGGGATGAATGATGAAAATAAGTTTGTTCAAGCAATAGTTCACAAGATAAAGAGTAAGTTTAATAAATATTAGGGAGAATGTAATTTGTTAATAGCTATAGCAACTATCTTAGATCCAAGGTACAAAATGAGGGTGGTTGAGTTTTGCTTTCTTTAACTGTACCTTAATAAAAAAGTAAAAGAAAATATTGCTAGAGTTCAAGATGTGTTTTATGAGATATGTGAGGAATATGTTCATGAGTGTCAAATTGGCAACATGCATAGTGCTGAAACTTAAGTACATGATAGTGGTATTAGTGGTATGAATATAGAAACTTCTTCTTTTGGTTGGTCTAAATTTGTAAATTATGTAAAATTAGTTGAAACTACTCAACCACAACAATCTGATCTAGATGTCTACCTAATTGAAGGTTGCTTTATTTATAAAGGAGATTCCATTGAATTTGATGCTTTGGAATGGTGGAAAGCAAGCACTTTTAAAATACTATATTTTATCCAAGATGACTCGTGATATACGTGCTATCCCTATCACTACAGTGGCTTTAGAGGCTAAATTTAGTATATGAGGTAGAATTATTGATACATATCGTGCCTCTTTAGCTCCTAACACAATGCAAACATTACTTTATGGAGGAGATTGGTGTCAAAATCTTCATGAAATGAAAAAGAATAACAAAGTGAGTTTTCTTATTACTTTGTTATTTCATGGCTATCATTACTTTAATTTAATTTTTAACTATTATTTTCCTTAACTTTGTTTATATAGAAAGAGAAGAAACCAATTGAAATTGTATTTAAAGTCCCTTAAAGTGAGGATATCTAGTATCTTTTATACAAGTATGAATATTATTACTAAATACTTTTAGTTTGTCACAACATTACTAAAGAAAAATAAGTGGTAGCAATTTTAGCTTGAGCTTTTTGCATTACAATTTATGAATCATAGGTTAACCAATGACAAAAATTTATGTTATGGCAATTGACAAGACATTGTCGATATTTTTCTACTTTGATTATGAGGCAATTGACAATATACAATCCATATTTATGCTAATTTTAAAATTATTGATCATTGTAGTAATATCATAATCTTCTTTTTTATATGGGTGCTTCTACTATATATAAGTACTCTTTAATTCTATAAAAGTTACTCTTATTATTATTCTTATTGTTAATTGCAATTTATTTGTTTTGTAATTATTCTTTTGTGTAGGTTTGTTAAAAAAAAAGGGTCAAACGATCATTTGAAGACATAATAGTGTGAAGGCACTATGATAAGCATATATATTGTTGTTAATTTGTTGTAACTTATGTGTGGACTTATTTGCTTGGATATTTAATTTTTTTCAATTAGAACTTTAATTTTTAAGTTTCATTATGTCTTTTATTTGTGTGTGAATCATTTGATAAAACTTTTATTTGTTTGGATTTAGTTGTTGTGTAAATTGTTATTATTATTATTGTTGCTATTATTATTGTTATTATCTTGAAAATATAATATTTATTAGGTTGATAAGAAATAGTTGTAAAAAATCTAGAACACAAGCTCAAACTCGAATATAAGAATTGAGTTTATTTTTACATGTTAATCGAGTCTAATTGAGTAAATTTGAGTAATTCGATTTCTATCTTGAGTAAAATTTGAACTAAAAAAATAAATTCAATCAAATTTAAGTGAAATTTTAAGTCAAATTTAAAATACTGTATCGACTTAAACTCGATTGATTACATCCATAATCAAATCTAATTATGATAATATAATTGACCTCTTCATCTTATCTTGAGTTTAAACCTTAAGGTGTTAAGTTTATATATATATATATATTAATTTATGATTATAATAATAAAAAATAATGGTAATTGATTTCTATTCAAAGTTACAATTTGAGTGACTTAGTCATTCCTTATATATTGTCAACTTTAAGCGGTGATTGGCCAAAAAAAAAAACTTTGAGAGCGATAAAAATGAAAAATCTCTCGCATTATTATTTCTTAGATGTGCAAAATTCGTATCCCAGCCCCGTTATGATAGGTTTTAGAATCTATTGTGTTTTATAGTCGACCTTCTGCAAAGCAGTCACACTTTTTTTTTTTTTTTATCGTTCTATCTTTTTGTTTTTGGATCATCTTCAATTAAAAATACAAAAAATGGACCATTCTAATTAAATTTGATAATTTATATATATATATATATTTTTATCTCATATTAAAATATGTAATTTTAAAATTTTAAAAATTATCGTATGACGGTTTATTTTTATATGTAAAACAAGATTTTTTTTTTTTCGTATTATTTTGTGTTATCAGATGCAAATTAAATGCATGTTCTTTTTTTTTTTTTTTTTTGAGGTTATATACAGATCAGGCCCACTATATCAACCCAGTTTATACACAAGGTACCTTATGATTAGCCCAACTCATACACAAGGCAGATTGTTGCCTTGGAATTTAGAACCCATAATCCTACAGATTAAATTTCTCTAATCCACAGTAATAGTGATAGTATTATCGACCGGAGGGACAGCCAAACTCCAATCCAAAGGAAGAGGCAGAACCGAAGCTTCAGTCACGATGAATCTCAGTTGTGTACTACCTTTGTCTAAACTGCCCAATTATCTTGTCCCTATAACTTTTCCGGGTTCTTTTTCTTTCTTGGACAATTACCAAGCAAACCCAAGAAAATCAAGCGGAGATTTCTGGAGTTTTAAAGATGGAAAAGTTGTCAAGAGGAAAGTAGGAATTGTACGTGGGTGGTTGTTGCCAGTGGATCCATGGGCACCAAACATTGACTCAGAAAACATTGCTTCACAACTTTTTGCAGTTTCTTTGTTTCCATACATTGGGTTCTTGTACTTCATCACCAAGTCTAAGTCTGCTCCCAAGCTCACCCTTTTTGGCTTCTACTTCTTGCTTGCCTTTGTCGGGGCTACCGGTGAGTTTTCTGGGATATACATATTTCTTCCTCAGATCTTTTTATTGTATTAATTGATACTATGAGGTTACTTTGTGCTCTGTCTTTTGTTCTAAATTTCAGAAATGAGATGGATTTTGAGATGGGAGTAGGGGATGGATTCTCTTTGCCATGACTTAAAAGAAATTAGCTCTTGGCAAAAAATGGAATAAAATTACGAGAAATCCATTTTGTTGATAATGCTGAGATACCATTATTTTAGCATTTATCCCCTTCTTGTTTTGTCAAATTGTGTAATTGGCATGCTAGATTTTTTAATTTAATTTCTATTGTTCTCATATTATATGCTACCATTTTTCTTTGGATAATTATATGTACATTTTGAGACCTGAATTGATGGCTTCTCATAGCTTAGGGCAGAGATGTATGTTGTGATAATGGGGCATCTATCTGCAAGCTGTAACATTTCTGTTAGAATGGTAGAAAATTTGTGTCTGCCTTTTCTCATTTCAAAATCTGGGGGGCAGCTTGCTTCCAAGTCGTCTACGTGATTTCTTCTGTTGTGAGTTGGAGAATCCCATGACATACTAAAATGTTTTGTCAGCACTGATCATTGGTGTAGCACTTCACATAGATTTTATTGGTTTTAGCTGCAAGTTTTTCTTGTTTTTGCTTCAATTTTTCCAGGGTGCTTGTTTTCATCTTTCCATATGCTGCCTAATATACATTTTCAGGTTTTCAGCTTATTCACTTCTTTTCTATTTGAATCCGTGGCTATATTTCCAATTCCTTGTTTACTTGATCAGTAGAGTTGGGCTGCAAAAGTTCACAATTCTGCCCAAACAGAAAAGAAATGAAAGCAGGAAAAGGTTATTTAAAAACAAAATGTGGCTTCATTCAATTTATTGTTGTATAAATTTTCTTACCGTGGATGCTTTTCGTCTGCAATTTGATTTTGCTATTGGTGGCTTTGTTCAGCTCTACTAATTTCCTTTATATTGGTCTTTTGCTGACTTTGTGTCTACTGAGCAGTCCCAGCTGGAATATATGGTAAGTTTCTCACAGTGAACAAGAATTACTTTTAACACTTATTGATTTTAACATATGGATGCCAAATTTTGACTCTATCTATGTGATTGAGACAGCAAAGGTGAAATTTGGTACTTCCTTGTCTAATGTGGATTGGTTACATGGAGGGGCTGAGTCACTTCTTACTTTAACCAATTTATTCATTGTCTTGGGGTTGAGACAAGCTCTTAGGAAAGCTGATGATGCAAAAGAACGCACATCAAGCTCTGTTCCAAACGTGAAAAAGCAGAAGAAGCCTTACGTGTAGATGGAGTAAGTAACATTCAATTTAAAATTATATCCTTGCCATTTCATTGTTCTAGTACTACGAGCTATTCTTAATTCTGTTGAATGGTGCTTCTTTTCTCGCAGTTTTCTTGTTTCAGAAGGACTTCTAATGCCTAATATTTTCTGCAGTGGGACATAGTTACTATTGTTCTCCTGTGAATCCCTCAGCACATATGCAACAGACAATTCTTCTTTGGTGCTGACTAGAGCTTTGTTATTGGTTCATTTTCAAATCTCTTCTAACATATTGCAACTTTCCAATCTAGAATTATTGATGATGCCAGGTTTCTCCATGTCATCATTATATCTCTTATAGGCACCACTACTGGGTTTTATTTGTGCATGTATTCCATTCACTTGAGCGTCAAGACAAGCAATCAATGTTGTGTCTACTAGAGGGATCATTTGAATGTAGATTCTTTTTCCCATGTATATGTAGAATTTTCTCTTCTCAAATCCGGGATGTGTTACTTTCACTCAATATGATGTTATGGACAACGTATTTGGATTCTTTTTGGTAAACATCTACGTACCAATATTATTGCAGCTGCGATTAAAACAAATGTCAAAACCTGTTATCCCAGGGAATTTCTTACAACCAACATTAAATTGAAAGAGACTCATGTAGGTGCAACACAAAGCTAGGATGAACAGATGCAACCAGCTAATCTGGCCAGAGGAACCTGAAATCAACGTCTACCTTTACACTTATTTATGTTGTGAAAAAGAGTTAGGAGAAAAATCCTGGGGTGTCAAATTGGATATTTGGATCTAACTCCACTTGATCAAGTGAGAAATCCAAGTCCATAATTGGAGAATTGGTGGCCGAAGTGTTGGCTGAAATCAACTCCGTGAGATCAGATTCAGAATGTTGTGCATTAAAAAATCCTCCGAAGTTGTTCGTCTGAGAAGGAGAAACTGAAAAGTAGTTTAATTCAGGTGTGTCAGGAGACATGAAAGGCGAAGAAAAGTTGCCAAAGACATTGTTGTTATCAAGTACTCCCGAAGGTGAAAAACTATTGTTTTCGCTCTTAAGGCACCCAAATGATGTTGTTGAAGGAAAAGAGAAGGACGGTGCCATCTCTTTATTGTCTAAGCCCTCAGTATTGACCTTTAGGCCTTTTCGAAAATTTAAGAGGATATCTTGTGATTGCAATTGTTGGTTATTGTTATTATTAAGGTTGTTTGATTTATATTCTTGTTTTTCTGGTGATGCTGGTTGTCGAACTGCCTGGTTGCCATGGGCACATGTGTGAGTTCCTCTGTAAGTGACATCAAAGATGGTGGGATCTTCATCTGATCTCTGGACTTGCTTTGTAGCCCAGCAGTTCTGGGTGTTACGGTAGGTGCATCTGTAATAGCTTCTGCAAACGTAAACAATCTCTCATCAAGATTTATACTAAATAGGAATGAAGATATTTAGAGGAAAAGAAGAGGTTATGCCTCTAGTCCATTGAACTCAGTCAAAAACAGAATGGTCAAAAACAGAGTAGCCTACTTTCCTTTTTTTTCTCTTCCTGAAACCAAAGATGACCAAAGTGCAAAAATAGTTGGTCTAGCTTTGAATATGTTTAATAGAAGAAACTGTTTAGCAAATGATTAGATGAGTAGATTCTTTTCAAGAAAAAAAAAAGGGTCTTTCAAGTAAGAGAAGAGTAACTTATCACCTAGGATATTTGGCTCCGAGGATATCTTTTTGCCCATATTTTCTCCAGCTGTAGCGATCATCATGAAGTCCCTCCAGCATGCTTTCAGAACTGACTCTCACCTGATCCGTCCATCTAGGCAACATTTTTCTGCAAAAGCCAATCCCAAAAATATGTTCCAGGAATCATTAGCATCAATTAGCTATAAATTTGCAATAACATACAAGAATTATAACTTGTAGCTTGCAAATTCACCTCTTCTTTGACACATCTCGGATATCCTGGTTATCCTTATCTAAATCATCACTCCGAGGGCTGCAATTGATGGATAGTGGAGACTCTGAGACACCAGATGTTGCTCCTACATTCTGTTGTGGCTGTCCCATGGGCCCACTCAATTTCAAAATCAGAAGAGCTTTCTCATAGGATGACAAAATCCTCTGTACTAACAAGTCCCCGGATTCAACAGAAGATGCTGCACCCAAATGCACCCTTAACTGTTTTGCTAACTCCATTCCTTGAATCAGCTCACTGATCAGTGTCCGCTGCTCCCTGTTCCATTTGTGCTCCATTTTTCTCCTTCTTCTTCTTCTTCCTTTTTACGGTTCTCACAGCAAGATATTACAGGAAGTAGAAAGGGATTCCTTCCTTGAAACTTGGAAGTACTAATTCATAATACTACCAATTCCAAATATACTAGACTGGGTAAATTTGGTTATGCAGAAGCCAAAGCTTTCCCCTAAGGAACACAAGCAGAAGCAGCCGAAGGGATTGAAATAACCTGAATGGTGAAGAGCAAGAAGCAACAACCATGGAACTTGGCCTGAATGAAAGTTGATTATGTAGCCAAAAGTTAAAGAGTGTTCAAATTTGTTTGTGTTGTGCGTAAACAAAGGGAGAGTTGGGAGAGTGAAAGCTTTTGGCTTTGAAGAAGAAATTGAAGGTTTGGGCTTTTAAACCTTTTTGGGTAGAAAGAGTCGTGGGAATGGAGAAAGTTTGAAGTTTGACTGAAAGCAAGAAACCGAGTTTTTCAGCTTAGACCAGTCTTTGGTCATATGATAATTAGAAGTAAGAGTGGAGTGTGAGTCCAAACTCCAAATTCTGACCAATTCTTCGTTCAAATTTACTTATAAAATGGACCCCCATTTGTTTTTCTCACTTGTCCTTTTATGACGCGAATGATTAAGTTTAAGAATACAAACTATAGATTAAGCTCACTAGAAGAGTGGACCAAGAAATTTCAAACCATATTCCGCGTTATTGCTCAGACCTTATGTTTTTCCATGTGGGAAAAACAGAGCTTAGGTGTACCGAAGATGCCATTTACACCCACTTTGTCCATCTGCTTATCCCTGTTAGATTCTTCACGTGGCTTTAAGTTTTCTAGTTTTTTAATGAACGGGGGATTTCTTATGACAGATCTTAACTGTCGAGAACATGTAATGTAATTCATAGACGTTTATCCATTTTTTTCCCTAGATGGATGTGCCCTGTTTCCAGGATTAAACAAATTCAACATGATTTGCTTGGCATAACTATTTTGGAAACCGCACAATTCTTTTTATTTTACTAACGGGAAACCTTCAAAAGAACCCCAACTCTTGTTACATTTTAAGATAATGGTATGCGGTTTCGTCAGAGGCTGGAATTTCACCTTAGCCATGAGGCACCTACCAATCCCAAAGGCCATTGTCTCGACTTTTCAACCTAACTCAACAACCCTTTTCCATTAATAAATTGTTTCTTTTCTTTTTTATAAAAAAAATGTTTAATAAACCTAATGAACCCAAAGTATCATTATAAAGTCTATCCCATAGAGGTTTTATTTCTGTTTTTTTTTTTTTGGGCTTTTTATTTATTTTATTTTATTGAGCTTTTCTTTTATCAAAATCAAAATAAATTAACAAGGGATTTGTTAAATTAAATTCAGTCCAATTTTTTAGGGATTTATCTTCAATTATGTAGTTTCTTTATCATATTTGTGGTCAAATTATTAGTAGTTGAACAATGAAAGGCCATAAATTATTAGTACTAGTAGTAGTATTTAGATTAAATTTGAATTTTATCGTATTTTGTGATTGAATTTTATATATTTTTAATTAAATTTAAATATCAAATTTAATGAGATTTATTTATTATAAAAATTTTATTAATTTTTTAAATTATAATTACAATAATAATAAAAATAATAATTATCATTATTTTTAATTTAACGAGAATGAATCTCATCACCCACTCATTCAAATGAATATTCAAAACAAAAGTTTTGCTAATATTTGCATTCGAAATTTCCCAAATTTATATATTTAATTGACAAAAACGAAAATATATCAAATATCAACCTACGGTGCTGTCCATTTCAGTTGCGGCAAACACGTTTTTCAGCATCATTATAGTAACCGCGTTTTTGTGGAATATAATGAATAGAATTGGAAATGGTCCAAGAGTTCTTCTGGATTCTCCCAACTACCAAATTACCAAAAGCCCAAAGCCTTTGGGGTCTTGGTCACGCTTTGATTGATATATTAATATTAGTAAAATATTCAGAATTCAATCCCTCACAGTTTTAAATATCAAAACAAAATATAATCCATTTTCTTTTCCTTTTCTTATGTTTCCTTAACCAATGCTTTGGCGCCCACAGCTTAAAAATCATGTTTATTTATTTTGTAATAATTAGTTTTATGCGCATTCACTTTCACTATATGAGTGAAATAATAAAGTATTTAATATCAAGGTCAAAATTAAAAAATTATAATTATTTAAATAAGTGAGAAAAAAATAAGGTAAGTGAAGGTTCAATTATTTACAAATAAGCATCATAGTAAGTTTAAAAAAATTTAATTTTTTTGATTTTAATTATTCTTAAATAGCCTACCTTTTATTTATTTAATTAAAAAAAATATTATGCATATAAACTCTTTCGGATATACAACATTTAAATGTCAACTCCTATAAATTGATCCAAAAATTAATTTATATTTAAATCAAAAGCAAAAGGCTTAATACTCATACAAATCCATAATAATTTTTTCAATTAAATTGATGTTGTCGCTTGACTGGTGACATCAAATTTAATAAAAAACTAGAAAATCTCCGGCTTGTTACTGCAGGTGTTATTTTTCTAATATGTAAGTTTGATTCTTGAATATTTATATTATTTAATAAATATGTTAAATTTAAATTATATTAAATATTAAGTACATCTATTTAATTAATTCATGAATAACATATATTCATGAATGATTAAATTTATATACAATTAGAATATTGTAAATTTTGATTCATGATCATTTATACTACTTAATAGTAAATATAAATTTAGATTCAAAATTTAAATTTAATGAAACACGGAATATATTCGGTCACAAAAAATTAACTGATTAATATAATTTAATAATTAGATTGATGTAGCTTAAAAAAATAAAAATATTAATTAATAATTGTTTAAATATGTATATGTTAGTGAATTTATATATGTAAAAAAACTTAAATATTAAAAACAAAGAAGAAATACCAATCATTGCCTTTTATAGAATATTTTAAAGAATATGTGTTACCCAAAAAAGGAACCTGCATATAAAAATAGATAAATGTTTGAAATTAGATGGTGTGAAAAAGCATTTTCAATGACTTATAATAAAAGTAAAAGTATAAAAATACTAGTAAATATAATTACATTAAAACTAATTCAAACATTTCTATAGAAAATTTTGGATTTCATTAGTACCAATTTCGTGTAAAAAACAATTTAAGGTATTAATATGGAAAGAGAAAAATAAATGAATCATGAACTGAGTGATTATTGGTGATTGAGGTGCAAGAACATAATTTGTTAACAATTTCTAACTTGAGGCCAGGCAAGAATCCTCATTAACACTACATTCGATTTCACTAAGACATTTGAACTTTTAGCTCTTGAAGAATCTATCATTGGAATCACATAGTGTTTATTCAAAATATGAAGTCATGGAACATTTATTTGTCTAAATATTACAAATAAATAAATTTAAAATCAAACTATAAGTCAAGTAAAGTTAATTTTCATTAGATTAAATCATGGACAGGAAAACATAAGAACAAAATTGAATTGATAGATTAATGCATAATCTTTCAAAAATTTTGCCAAGTTTAAATTGTCTCAAAACATTTTCATTCTTAATCATATAAAAATTTATCGAAATTTAGTAAAAAATAAATACAGGTAGGTTTAATTTTATGGCAAGGAGTTTAAAGTATGCTTATTTAAAAATTTATAATTGATCAAATAAAGACTGCCTACTTTAATTCTTTAACACTAATGTGATTTCAACTACACAATATTATTGCTTTCTTCAAAATAAAAACTTCAAAACATTAAATAGTTCATAGTATTTTATTCAACTAAATTTTATTTGTCATAATGGAATTATAACTAAAGAGTGTATAAAATTCGTAACAAAAAAAGAAATTGCAAATAGAATTAACAAATAAAATAGAACAAAAAGCAAGATACCAAATTCTAAGTCTAAGACAGTTTACTTTGGGAATAGTAAAAATAAAAATATCAAAATCTTCAATATTCTAAGTATATGTCAATAAACTTTTATAATATTAAAGATAAAAATAATAAAGTCAAACAATCATACCAATTAAGGATTTTAATGTAAGATATAATGTAAAATTGAAAGAATATTCAAAACAATTAGTTATTTATATGCATACTTCTAGCCAGCCAAAACACACTCTTTTACTTTCAATAAATTTCATAGTTTACTATTAATATAATTCTGTTTCATTTATCACAAAGTAAGTGAAAATCTTTGAAACTTTATATGACATTATTTCAGTTATTAATATAAGGTGATATGTCAAACAACATGGAAAAGAAAAGAAAGTATTAAAAAGTAAAATGCCTTAGAATTAAATTTGGATTTTACTTTTATCTCTATATGTATAAAAAATGCAACAATGAACATAGAATGCATTAACCTTTCATGTGAATAATATATGAGATGAGGAGCATCTACTAATGAATGTATATATGAACAAAATTCTTGAATCATCTTATTTGGACTAAAGCAAACATCCAAGTTCAAAATATTCGGTTATCAATAATATGTTTGTAAGATTATATTCCTATAGGTTAAAAAAAATTTTAAACATCAATTCATAAACTGCTATGTATCTCATATAAACATAGCTATGATACGACTATCATTATATAGACAAAAAGAAAACAGAATAGTTTCGTTGTTAGCTTTGAAAGAGATATCAAATTAAAGGGTCCTTCTTTTTTAGATGTAGTTACAACTTTATGTTGTATTGGTCCTCAAAGAATGATAACATGTTATCCTCAAATGATTATCAAATGGTTTTCTTCAAAACAAACAAAGCTATATTTAAATAAATATTTGTTATGTTAACCAAATTAACAACTTCTAAAAGGAAAATATATATTCTACTTCAGTTCAAGTTATTGTTTGTTACTAAGCAATTAGAAGCTACTACTTCTCAATTTTGAATACTAGTAAAATTTTAATTGGTTCTTATCAACTTATAAAGTTCCTTCCCTTGGTCAGCTATATATTCATCACATACCTGCACATAATCAAGTTTATGTTAGTTTTGCTTACTTAAAATTTAATTTTGTACCAATCAATCTTACCCACATCAAAGCTCTTATTCTTTGCAGTCGAATCATGCAATGTTTTCATGCAAATTTCAACCGCATCACCACAACTAATGCCCTAATCAAAGAAAGTGAGTAGTCAAAGAAAATGAGTTGTAAAACATGATTATAAACTTAGTAATGTTTTGTTATGGGCCACAATAAAAGTACATTCTCACTTGTAAAATCCTGTTTAATGGATCAAATATAAGAGCATGTTGGCTATCAACTTTTTGTGTACAAACAAAATTTTGATTTAGTACATATTTTGGTAGTCAAAGTTGCTTCTTCACAAA